GATAGCCGAGCCCCGTAACCGGGTAACTATGCAAGGCGAATCAACAGCGGTGACGTAACCGGACAGCGTGGCTAGCAACAAGGGTGCCTATTACGTGGCCGTATTGTCCGATCGAGGCTACATAGGGAGAAGCGAAGGCTATTCACAGTCAGTTGTACTGTAACAGTCGCCGAGTCGAGTTGTACTGAGTCAGTCAGTGAGTCCTGGAGCTACCGCCGAGTTAGCCAGCAACTAGTCAGTTGTATTCTGGCATTTGGAGTGTACTAATTGTGATACTGCAGATAGCAGTAACCGTAAATCTGTAATTTGGGTGATTGTAAGTGCGAATGTGAAATAAAATTCGCTACATCAAATACATCGAGAAGTTATTTGTCGCGATATACGCCCGATACGCGACAATATTGTTGCACTTGACGGAAAATCTATTGACAATTGGTTCATAGTGCTTGTTTTGTACTTTATGCATAATTGGTGTTGCAATGAAATGACTCAACCAAACCATAATATTATTGATTACTCCTATAGTAGGGAACAAAGAAGATAGCTCAAGCAATATTATTTCTGATGTGAATTTGGGAGGTGTGTGGTTCAGATCTCAGCTGAGACAATAATCATTCCGTCTGAGGGTTTTCATGGTATTCCTCAGATTTTCCAGGCATATTCTTAAATTGAGCCATGACTATGAGCTGTGCATGCTATCTTAGGAAATATATTTTTATAAGAAAGCTGGCACTTTGCTTCTTAATACTTATGTTATTCTGCCTTTCTCATATCCAGAAGTTCTTTTTTTTGCACCCTCACTTTTCCTGTCAAGACTCTCCTGAATGGTCACATCCAGAGCTTGGATCCGTTCATTTGTTGGATTGCAAATAGGCAATATTAATTCTAGTAGCTGGACAGGAGTAGTTAGTCCAGATGTCCATTGAGCCTCTGGGGAGATGAGTGGTTTTCCAAATCTTGCTCAGATATATTGAAATCTAAATGATTTTGTGTTTTTATCTGTTGTGCTCATCTCCAGGGGATTCGTTGATTTATTTCAATTGGTCAACCAGCCCTACCCATCCAATTTAACCGAAGTATTATTTTCTGAATAGTTATTCTTTTACATATACGTTTTATTGGCACTTTCCCATATTGTTTATTGATTATAAGCAAGGTAAACTGCACAAAAATCAGTGTTTACAATTGCAGTTGTAGGGACTTGCTGTGTATGTTATGACCTTCTTTGTTGCTTGTATTTTATTTACTAGTATATCCTTCAATATATGCCAATTTGATTCCATTTTAGTTGTGATTATTGATTCCTTTGCATTGTTTCCCTCATCAGAAAAACCTACATAATGACCAGAGGTTATGTTTTCCTGTACCTCACCCCCCCTTCCCCCACCAACTTTAACTGCTTTCTTCCAAATCCTATCCAATTCATTATTCGCTATCATCAAATTATTTAATGTTGTATAGTCTGGCTAACTGACAGCATAGTTAAATATACTACAAATAAAAAAATTTAATGTAAACCCCAGTACCAGATTTAATTATGTAAGGTGTATAATGCTTCTCTTTAAGTCTGTCGTACATTAGTCCAAATCTCACTTCCATGTGATGAAAACAATATTAACCATGACAATATGAATCTATTATGTGGCAAGAAGGATAACGTTTAGGTCAAGCTACTCTACTGAGTACATTTATTAAACTTTTATTAGTTTCATGTGTTTAAGAACGGAACCACAACTCACGATGTGGCGGTGCATTGAGTTGCTGTTGTTTGAGTAGCTTGTGTTGGGAACAGGTCGACGGAGGTAGAGATACTTGATGCAGTGGGTAGCTCCGACCCAGGAAGCAGTCACACAAATGGTCACACACACTCCGAAGTAAATCTGTTGAGAGAAGAACTGTAAATTACAACTAATTCCCAGGAGCAGATTCATTTTTGAGAAGCTAATAGTGCTTAGTTGGTCAAAAATACGTATATATCATGTATATCAGGAAGTTTATTATATGTGCAAGAGCTTACCACCTGAACCTGCCCTCGGTCAATTGAATCCAGTCCTCACAATTAAACCATGGTACTTTATGATCCATTTTAATATTATCATTCAACCTATTACTTAGTCTCGCAAGTGACATCTTTTATTCAGTTTTTATGATTGATATTACATATGCATTTTTCATCTTTCTGTTCATGCTACAAGCCTTGCCTCTCTCATTCTACTACATTTTTGGCTGAGCCATTGTTCAAGCAGTTAACCATCAGCTTCTTACCGAGATGGCTCAGATGTTGAAGATCATATGGGATTTGTGGTGGACTAAGTGGCACTGGGGGTTTATTTCTTCCGAACGCACCAGTTTTCGCTGTATATTCTCTTTCCACCATTTCTTTGACCATCCTGTCATCGCCGCTATAGAATCTTGATACTGACAGCGTAATTAAATAACAAACTTAAAAAAGACTCATTTTATTACCTAACAGTATTTACTTAAGATTGAAAATTGTTTTTTTCTCCATTTTTCATATTAGTTTGTCTCTTTTAACTACTAATATTCTCATTTTGCTCTGATACTTCTTTAAACCGTGGTTTTCCTTTAGAAAGCAAAGTTGAAAATTATAGTTTGTCGTAAAATCTTTGTTGCAAAATTTATATAAATCTTGTATTAATTTCTGATTACTCCCTACTGTTTCGTGTTTGTCTCTATTGGATTTCGGTTTAATTCAGTTTGACACATTCTGCATCTGTCTTTGTCTTTGTTTACTTAATACACTGTTCAAACATCTGTGACGTAACGAAAGCATTGAGTAGGCCGTGTGGAAATGTGGAAGTTAATAGTTTAGTTAACTTAATAGTTAATAGGCAGTGAGACAACATCCTTCATTGGAGATAATTCCTATCTATTGCTATCTAAGGTCCCCACCTTCCGTGCTGACCGCGAGCAGCATGAGTTCTTGCAGCTCTTCAACTTGTGCAAAGCGCCGCTGCCAGAGGACGGCTCTGCTGCCTGCTGACTGCCAGTAACTGCAATGTAAGATGAGCATTTTCTATTAGCTGCTGTTTAGAGATACGTGATAAATACACAAATGGTTGTGGAATTCTATAAATTTATAGTGTTAGTATAATTTTGTCCTTGTATTTTTTTTTCTCTTTAGTATATGCAGATTTTTCAATTTGGAGGTACAGGCATTACTTAAGTCTATAGTTTATGTTGCATTCCAATTTTGAAGAATTATTGATTTTAGCCTCAAACTGCTCAGGAACTGTGGTACAGATCCACGAGAATAAATAACATCCAAATCTGTTAAGTACGCAAGAAGAAATTTGAGGGCAGGTGGACATACCTGACTTCCTCATTTAGTTTTCTCCTTGTGCATGTATATTCAGTTTCCTTTGTACTCAAACGGTGCTGCTCCAGTTGTATCCAAGCCTTGGTGTTTGAGATACAAATTCCTTACCCCCACCCGGAAAAAGCACACACGCATGCACATGGTTCTGTGGTAAGCAGCGATATGAGAAGCTAGTGACTAATCTAAACAGTGACAAAATATATTTTCGTGTTTGACTCTGTAATTCATCATGTTAAAATCACTAGGTTGTTATATTTTTGTGGTAAATTAAAGGTAAATTTGTCCCTGTAATTAACTAATTAAGCACTATGCCTTAAACACGCATGAGGGAGTGGATGTATAGACCCACATTTTGTGGACCTCGGCACTTGTTAGAGGTCAGTGGTCAGCTTCACGCCGCAGCCGCTTTACCCCCGTGGTAAGAGTCCCAGGTACCCAATGAACAGGAAGCTGGATGGGCCAGTTGGTCTGGACAATGTGAACAGAAAACTCTTGACCCTACTGGGACTGAACCCCGACCCCTTGGTCATACAGCTAGTGAGCCAATTGCTGTACCGACTGCACTGTCCTGGCTCCTTAGTGGTAACTTGTTAATTAATTCTGAAAAATGTTACAAATGATAAGTGTGCCACAAGCCAGGACAGAATTCATTTCACTGACAATGCCCCAAACGAATGTGTGAAGGGTAAAAGGACTGGTTTCTAAATGGTATAGATCATTTTTAGAATGAAAAGTGTTGGCGAGGTTTTTCAATTTCATTGCTATTTTATTATTTGTATATTGGTTTGCCATAAACTGCAGAAGTTATGTAGTAACAAATGCGAAATTAAAGTATAAGTACTGAATTGATTGAAAAGCATTCATGGCTTGTTTGAGAAATCTATCTTAGCACAAGCCTGGATGGACTGATGAGAAAATAACAGTCAGTAAACCTGTGCCTGAAATTCAAGCCATGTGTCTCCTGACTGTATTCCAAACATAGTGTTTTTAGTTAACCTGCCTAATTTCTTACTGTGAATCGTAATAAATAAGTCAGTTAGTTAGTTGTGTTTAGGGTGTTACCATAATTTTTCTCGTCATGCAAACTGGCAACACTTAGAGCTTTTCCTTCCTATGGTCCTTGATTCCTGCTTTAAGATTTTGAGAGAGACCACCACATGAAGATATAAGTCTCTGTTCTTTGTAGTTTCATTGTTCATTAAATCTCTCATGTAAATACAGAGCTGCTGAATTCTCTTGGTTTGACTCCGCAAATTGTACACCATTTCCAAATGGAAACTGAAAGTAATTTACATAAATCTACAGTACATCTGCCAATACAGAAGAAAGATCAGGTGTAAATACAAGGTTACTTCTGAGTTTTACCCATCCTATTTCTGGCCAACTCAGGGTATATTACAATAAAAATAGACAAAGAAGCAGTGGACCTTGGATAAATTTGCAACAGCAAACTACTTCCATCTGTGGACTGAAATGTCACCATCAGTTTTATGAAATATGACATTGCATTCGCTGGTGGTTCTGAAGTAGAATATTAGATGTAGTTGCAGAGGGAAACAAAAGTATTATTGTAAATACATACAATTTGAAGACCTGGATAAAATGTATTTCCTCATAAAAGTTGCTGTACTCAATATTTAGTTTTGAACTTGGTAGGCAGATGAAAAATTGTCTGTTGAATGTACTCATGTGTGTTTATATACATATACATATCATATACATATATCATACATGACGTATTAGGTGTCAGAAGTTGGCGGCTCGGACAGTATTGGATTTTTCAGAAGTGGTTATGAACTTAAAACACGGAAACACCACACATACAAAAGTGGAGTCATAGTAGATGATGGAATTCCTGCTGAAAGAATTGAGGGCCAATATGAAGACCGACAGAGAAGAGTTCTTGGCCAGATTGGACACTGATAGGGCACCCCACAGAAACAAGACCGTAACTGTCGAGGAGTAATAAATATCTGGTCATGAGCCCCAGGAGGGTGCTCGATACCAAGACTTACTGACGGACTGATCGTCAGTCGCAATATGACTGACTTGATTCAGTCAATATTGAGTACTGAGTATGAGTTACGAGCAGTTACGAGCAATATTTAGTATTGAGTATGGAATATTTGGAGATTATTGGGAGTACTTGGGAGTTCTCAGAAGACCTGTGAAGATTTAAAGTGTGATTTAGAAGACTTTATGTGTGCGACGCAACAGTGGATTATAAGGCGTATGTAAATCAGCGGTAGCGCTGTGATTTGCATGTAATTGAGAGAGTGCGTGTAACCAAGCTGTTAATAAATCCAATTATCTGAACCAGAACCCGTCATTTCGTCATGTGTACCCCCATACACGTGACAATATTGAAACCTGTTTTAATAACTTGTGTAGTGAAATATTTAGAATTGTAGAAATTGAAGTTTAACTGTAGCTGGAAGACAGAAATTCTAGCTGACGAAATCCATTGTCATATTTTAACATAAATATTTTGAGGTTTTCACAGCGGTTAATTTTCAGATTGTGATCTTCTGTGTTGTGATACAGTGCCATCTTGTGCGTGAATACAGATTTTTCGGAGGAAGATTTTGCTTTCATCTTCAGGGTTGAAGCCTGGATCGAGCTCAATTTCCCTACCCATCCGTTGGGTCTCAATGACTACTCTCCTTGTAAGTGGCCCTCATAACCAAGTCAGTTCATTTACCTTTACATTTACAATTCAACACTTACAAGGAGAGGCAGGATGTTTCTCCAAAATGTCAGTATCCTTGTACAGGGATGCACGATGTCACAACCAAGACCACAATCTGATCTTCATATTCTATTAAAAAAATAAATTGTGTTACAAATTTCTGTGTAGATAATTCGCCTATGTATATCATGGTCATGTATATATTATGTACCATAATAAACACAAAACCTTTTTACATTTAGTGTGGAAAATTCGAAATTGTGAATATACCTGTCTGCTAGTTGGTTCTGTCCAAACTAAAGTTTACTGAAAAAATTCTGTTATGTTACAATGTAGTGTGAAACTCTGGATGCGAAAGTTCATGAAAGAAACGAAATGCTTATAAAAGTTTAAGCTAGTGTGGAGTGCAAACACAAATGCATTTTTGATGCATTTGCAATTAAAGTTGCAAAACAGTGTATAATTTTTTGGCAGAGTCCTTTTGTCTGTTCGTATGTGACAACTTGAGAACACAGAACAAAGTTTAACGAAGTATGAAGCTGGAGAATTTTACTAAAGTTTTCAGCAGCTTCCAGTTTTTGTTGGAACTGGACTACAATAATGGCCACTGCATGAGGACGTACACGAATCTGTATGCAAGTTTGAGCGTAACTCGTTAAGTATTTATTGGTATCAAAGCGAAAAATGTTTCGAACAGAGGTTGTAAAGAAAAATAAAACATGTGCTTTATAAATCTTATGCAAGATTTACAATTTCAGATACGATTAAAGAAAAGCTATTTTCATGTTGTGTCATCTCATAATTTATGGACATATTTCTCCACCTCTCCTCTTTTCTGCTTGTTCCGCGCTGTTTATAAAAGGGCATCAAAAATTATCTTACACAAATCGAAAATTCATATGCAATGAAAGGGTGAACATGTCAAAACGGTTATGCTTTACGTACATTTCCCAACTTCGTGATTTTGCATTCTTTGGTTTTAAGAATCCCTTGTTTCTGGAAGAGATACATTATTTGCAATTATAGTATAAGCTGAAGACTTGTAAATTTTATTCTTGCTTGGGCTAATAAATAAGCTAAGTTTTAAGATATACACAGCATAGAAACAAATTTATTTTATACTTTATTCCATAGGTCTGTTGAAATTAATTTAATATATCGGCATTTGAGGTTATATCTCCAATAAGGTCTACATTTGATATCGTATACTAGTTTCTATATACTTGTAGTGAGACGTTTTTACAGGAAGTCAAATTATGGTTTAACGTTCATGTAAACGGCAGGAGCTTATATTACGCCAGTAAGAGATAAAGGTAAAGTTGTCCCTGTGCTTATTTAATTAAGCACGATGACATGAAGACGTATGGGGGAGTGGATGTATAGATCCACGTTTTCTTGACCTCGGCATTGGTTGGAGTTGAGTGGTAAGCTTCACACCCCGGGTAAATTGCCCTGGTGCCTATAGGATAGGAGGCTGGGTGGGCCCTCGAGCCAATCTGGACGACGTTGACTCGGATTCCGACCCCTCAGTCGTCCAACCAGTAGCTAGTCGCGGCTGCGTTATCCCGGCTCATTACACAAAGAAGAACCATACTTAATTCGCCAAATGACGTTCATTACTGACCCGCCAATACCAAACTTTGTCGAACTTTGCACTGTCATTCAGAATATGAAACATGCGGATAGAGGAATGAACACGGCGTACCGTATTAAGAGTTCATTCTCTGAACTTTCTGCAACAAAGAAACCAGAGTGGCTTCACCCATGTAACTTTTCTTTTTTGAATTTGACCTCAGAAGTATCGACACTTCAGACGTTTGTCATTTTGTAAGATTTTACTGCAGACTCACAGAATATTTTGCATGTTTCTATGGCATTCATGACCTACAGTTCACAACGGCGAATGAAAGCTATTAGTTAAAGCAGATGTAAAGGTTTTTGTAATATTATATTACAGCATCCTGTCGCCACTATTTAACAATTTA